TTTTTTACCAATTACTGTATCTAATACCCCTGCCTGGATGTTCTACTTTAAACTCTCTGAACCTGTAATCTGTGTTAACTCACTGTGTTATACCCAGATGCCCAGATCATTATCTTAACTTTAGAACTAATTTATTCTCAAGGTAAACCTCTTAAAGCCTTCTGTAACCATTTTTACAGCTAACCTAGATATTGTTATAGCAGAACCAATACTTGTAGTCAGGACTTAATTATTAAACTGCTATGTTTTTGTAAAGTTTACTTAGACTTCAGTATCTATTTTACAGCTTAATACCAGTACTTTAGTATACTCCTGCCTTTTTACTAAACTTTTAATTCAGATAGCATATGTAGGACTACAACTAGTCAATCAATATATCAGATCAGTCTGATATTCTTTTCTTCTAATTTGTTCTAGCAGCCTAGTTGGTAGTATCCCTAAAACTCTTAATCCAAAAGTTCTTGCCTATTAGACTACTATAACTAGGTACTATAACCTTGGTATCCATTTTCTTAGACTAGCCTTTACAGTAAGACTATTGAAAATCCAGTTATCTATCTACTTAGGTCTTCCCAAATGGACTTCTTGTTACCCAATTTAAACAGATTTACATGACCACAAGAACTTATCTAGTGTTTGCACCTTTTGATTTGTTTGTTTACATTTCTCTATATAATGCTATACTTATATAGATGCTCTATAACTTGTCAGTTATGCTGATGCAATCATTATTACAAGTATCCTAATCCAATCATTAGTAACAGTTATTGTAATACAAATGTATATATTTTTTTTTAACTATTCCTGATGCATTACATCATGGGGTGCATGTGGCACTCTAATTTTCTTTATTAACTTTAATGTTTGGAACTTATAGGTTTACATATTTAGTTGCTATGTATATCACCAATAGTGTTCTCTAGCCCCATCATACTACATTATTAACAAGTTTATCACTATTGAGATAATGCAGGTCCCTGGCCCCATGGTGTAGGACCCCTTACTCAAGTCCACAGTTCTTTATTAACAATGGTCCTTCTAGGTTCTGTCTCTTTATCTCTATTGCCTTTTATGATAATTTTCTAATCTGGGATCCTTATGTTATCAATGTTTCTTGTCAGATTATCTCCTTATCTGGGTGTTGTGTAACCCTGTGACTATGTCACTTGACTTGTTCTTGCTGTAGTACTTTGTCCGAAATTGAAAATAGACCATCACCATAGATCATTCATTTTTGTAATATTCTTGTTCAGAAGTAGAAGTGAGAAATCCTTTTAAGATTATAACAATCGTGGTCCTAACACAACTTTTTTTCCCAGTTGGAATTGAATTGGCAACCTTGCGAATGTGACCTGGGAGTACTAACCACTGCACTATTGACCTGCAGATTATAATACAAATATTACATAGGTGATTATATAAATTTTTGTTATCGATAAAATTTGAACACCCAACCTACTACTTGGTAGGTTGACAACCTAACCACTTCACTAGTTTATCACACTTCTTAATATAAAAATTAATGAATTAATTAGAGGATAGAAGTATTTATAATTTAAATTAAAATATTGCAACAAATAAATATATGTAGGTATTTAACAAATTTGGTTTTAAAAAAAATAAAAATAATAAAATATGTGCAAATTTCAAGTAATAAAACATATCTTATATTTGATGTCAAACATGTAATTTTCAGAAGATTCAAGAATAGACAAGTGGAAATAAGAATATTAATAATTGCATTAAAGAATTTCAACTTAAAGCTATGAAATATGAAGATATAATTGAATAAATTTCTTTTAATAGTTTAGCTAATATTCAAAAGAAAGATGATAGATTTTTAGCAATGTAGTTAGATAAAATATATTATATAAATTATGAATATGTTATAATAAATATAAATATATACAATTATGTTTACTATCATATAAAGTGAATATTAAAATATTAATATGAATATGAAATAATTTAAAAGCAAGTTTATATTATTTTATTATATCAGATCAAACATCAAATTAAACATGTAGTTTGTTTAATATATGCTTAATTTGTATGTTAATATACTATTATAAATATATTTAATATAGCAATTAATAAGTCAATTGAGTAAATTAAAAGATATAAGTATTTATGAATTAATCCAAAATACAATCACAAATGAGTATATGTTAATATTTGATAAATTTAGTTATAAAAGAGATTATAAATATAAAACATGCATAAATTACAAGTAATATAATACATCTTATTCTTAATGCAATTTTTAGAAGACAACAAAAAGATAAACAAATAAAAATAAAGATATTGACAAGTGCATTAAGGAATTTTAACTTAAAACTACATCTTATTATAGTGTAATTAAATGTATTTCTTTTAATAGTTTAAATAATATTCAAAATATTGATAATAAAGTTTTAAAAATCTGATTAAATGAAATTCAAAATTATGAATATAAAATTAAAAATGATAAATACAAATATATAGTTACATATACCATTATATAAAGTGAAGTTTAAAATATTAAATAGAACACAAAGTTTATTAGATATGTTAAAAGAAGTAAGCTAAAATATTAATAATTTATTATTGTTATACTATATATATAACTTTAATATATAGTGACCTTAAAGTATATAAACTAACTCAAAACAATGCAAACAATAAATACATGTTAGTATTTGATAAATTTTATAATAAAAGAAATATAAATAATGAAACATATGCAAATTGCAAGTAATATAACACATTTTATACTTGACGTAAAAGTATGAATCTCAAATGTCAATACAAGAATTAATAAGTGAAAATAGGAATATTAATAAGTATATTAAGAAATTTCAACTTAAAGCTACAAAACAAAATACATAGATGTAATTGAATAGATTCTTTTAATAGTTTAGTTAATATTCAAATAATTAGTAAAGGAGAATTTGGTACTGTATTTTCTGCATTTTAGTTAAATAATAAAAGAACAGTTTATTTCTAATATAATATAAATAAATTATAAATTATATAATTAATTATATTATATCAAGAGTTCATTTTAACAAAGGTGAGCTGTATTTGATACTGGATCTTTTTGTTATTTAACTTATGAGTAGAGGTGTAGGCAGAATTTGAGTATTGAGATTTGCTATAATGTAACAGAGTTATAACTAGTATAATTTTTTGCTTTAAGTTATAACATGCTATAACATGCTTGTGTGTTATAATTCAACTTTATATGTATAACATGCTATAACACAATTTTATATATTGAAACTTGTCATAATTTGTCATAACTTATTATATCAAAATCATCCTTATTTAGACTGATTAGACAGAAAATTTTTTTTTTTGAATAAGTTATTTTGACTATCAACTTCTTGAGATGTAATATTTTCATTTTGCTCTTAAAGAAGTTTTGATAATTGAAGGCTAACATATAAGAAGTTGATATTATAGATAATGAGAAACCAAAATGATTAATAAATACTATTATAAAATAAGAAAACATTATTATTAATCAGAGAATTCTCAAATTCTAAGACTTTATATTGTTAGACAAGTTTTTATATAATTATTGATTATAATATATACTATTTATTTTTCATGTAGGCAGAAATTATATGACATCATAAGGGTGTTTTTCACTTAAATATCTTTAGCCAGTATAACAAAAAAATGACTATAAAAAGATAATTGTGAATCTAATAAAACAATCATATTAAAACTTTGTCTTTAATTATAATAATACTGTTTTACTAACTTAGAGAATTACAAAATTCTTTGTTCTAAATAACTATCATGTTGTATCAAAAATTTTAAGATCTTTATTTAAGTAGTACTGTTATAACAGCTAATGGATTTTAAAACTTTTACCAAAGATAAAACCATTATGTAAACTAAAAGAATTATTTTCAAATCTTATATAAAAACATAAAGTGCACATAGTAAAATAACAAGAAATAATAAAGAAATAATAAGCAATTCTGGAAAATAACAACTATTAATTTAAAATTAGTTCTTTTACTGATTAAAAAAGTCACAAAACCCCATCATATGATCATATCAAAATGTGAAATAATGATTAATTAAATGCAAATACTCAATTGTGTTCATATGGCAATTGGAATTAATATAAAAATTGGGATTATATAGCAATTGGAATTCATATAACATTTGGGATTCATACAGTTTTTGTTATAACTGTAACTTGCTATGTATTATACAGTTCTGGGAAACCTGAATGGACCTTAGCCAGTTAGGGTCTATCATCAAATTTAGAAAAAAAGATTGATTGCATTTGTTATATTTGTCACATATGACTGATAATCACATATAATGCATGTGACAAATGTAACAGATAGTAGCGATTAGCCAGAAGGGAAATATTAGTAGGATATGACTGATCAGTAGCATCAAAGATGTTAGTCATATCCATCACATAATGTAAATAGAATTCTACAATTATAAATAAAAGCTAAAAGTCTTTTTGAGAAAGAACAATTTCTATCTTTGACAAAAAAATATATATATTTACTAATACATAATTTGTTCCTAACTTGTAAATACTAACTTCTGTCAATATTCTTACCTAATAACTAACCCAAAACCTTCTTTTCATTAAAAGAACCTAATTAAAACACTATTAACTACTCACCAAATTTAACATGCCTTTTTTGAATAAAATTAACCCATAGTGGTTATATAATATATCCAATTTTAGAGCTACCAACCTGATGATCTTTTACCATCAACAATTTGATGATAACTGTGAAATCCAAAATATTGCTAACCAAAATTTTATTACTCTGTCTGGTTGTGGTATTCTAAAATACTAGAATCAGCTGTAATAACTTGTGCTCAATTATCTGAAGAAATGTAATAGTTGAAGAGATAGAAAAAAATAAGGTTAGAAATGTTAATAATATAAAAGAACTATACCAACAGTAGAACAGATAAACAAAAAACTTACTACAATTAATGCCCAAATTGGAATATATTCAAGACCCCAATTAATGCATCAGAATGTTAGACCAATTTATAAAATAAAAAAGAAAAAGTTAGAAGAAAAAGACCAAATAAAAAAGAAAGAAAAAAAATGTATAGAAGTTACCTGACAAGCCCCAAACCATAAATAAATCCAAAGACAATTCTGAAAAGAAATTTTGTGTTCTTATTGCAAGATAAGAAAACATGCTTTTAGTAAATGTTCAGAAATTATAAAATTAGAAGAGAAGTATGCTTATCTATTCAAAACACTTACTGACAAACAAGCCTGAGAGTTTTAATGAATTACTAACAAAACCTTTGGTAATTGAAGCCTAGGCCTTAAAAATTATATTGAAAATATTAGAAAATATATCTCTAAATAATAAAGACAAAATAGAGAAACTTGTATACCTATCTTCAAAGATTCGACAACTAATACCTGCTATACTTAATGCTTATGCCAATTTTGATAAATTTGTAGAAAAACTTCATATTACTGAATGTGAAGCTCCTGTACAAAAGTGGGTCCAAGAAGAGGTCCTAGAATCCCTGCCAGAAAATGGTGTTAAAGAAGAACAAAATAAGCATCTGATTATTGTCAAAAACTAGCCAAAATAAATAAACCAATCAAGAAAAAAAAAGAGATGAACTTATTGAAAAAGAACCCACCAAAGCTAAAAGAGAAATGATAAATTTTGATGAATATCATTATAGAATCAGAGTCAAAAAGGATGAACACAAAGCATTTGGATGCTATCAAAAACCTGTGGAAAAGAAGAATGCCAATGATGCATATTATGTTGAATCTAGTTATAAAAAAGGAATCAAAGTTAAAAAGAAAGAACATGAGACACCTATTCATTATTGAAAACCTAATGAGATAGACTATAAAAATGAGTGTAAAGTAGTTAGAAGACCTTCTAAGATTATAAAAGGAAAATTAGAACTTGATGATAATAAAGCTGATAATGTGGATAACAATGATAATGATAATGACAACAACAATAATGATGGAACCAAGATCAAAAAAGATGGAATTGAAGTTGAAATGGCTGAATACAAGGACTCTAATGTGCAATGTTTTATATTGAAAAACCTGGATAAATACTGTAAAGACTGAAAAAAATGGTTAATGAGTTCAAAAGTTTGATCCAAGATAATCCAAAAGTGGTAAAGATCCTACCAACACCAAGGAAGAGGCACCAAATATTAGAATTGAAGTTGAAAAAGATGATCCTAAAGCACTTGGATGGTATTCAAAAAAAGAAGACCCAACTGGTTTGAATAATGAGCAAATCAGGATGGATCATTAGAGGCTTACCAATATAAAACCTATGGCAAAAGGAACTAATGAGAATGAAAAGTCTGAAACACCTAACCGTAATTACCACAAAATAGTAAATATCGAAGAGGATAAAAATAGAATTGGAGTTGAAAAGAATAAATGTAAGACCCTTTGATACTTACTAATGTATGGACCATGCATCTTCGATCCCGGTGGTTTGACCTTGTCTCGTGAAACTTGACCTTGAGTCAGAGAGAAATATGGGACCTAAATGGAACCTGGCTGGTCAGGGTCCATTGCCAAATTCGGAAAAGGGGGTCAATCACATCTGTCGCATCCGTCGCATGTGACCGATCAGTTGCATGTGACGCATGTGACAAATGCGACAGATAGCAGCGATCGGTCAGAAGGGAAATATCAGTAGGATACGACTGATCAGTAGCATCAAAGATGTCAGTCGTATCCATCGCACAATGTAAATAGAATCCTACAATTATAAATAAAGG